TGCCATACATTTCTTTTAGAAAGGTGAAGTAGGAATGTTGAGATACCCGAGTTTAATTCTTATTATCCTGCTTTCTTATGAACGGGACATTTGAAATCTAGACGAAATGGGGTAATTGTTCCTCTCTAGATCAATCTATTAAACTTAAATTAAGCCTGTAGGACAAGGCTAAAATGTTTTTTTTTTTAAAAATATGTTAATACAGCCCTTCATTAAGATTCTTCCCCACCCCCAAATAATGAAGGTAGATTTGTTTTAGTCATTATCTACATTCATGTTCTTCGATTAGAGCCTCCTTATGGCTACTGTAATCCCTCTTTTTAATTGGAGCTAGGGAACCAGGATAGCCATTCAGTTTGGTCTGTTGCTATGAAATAAAGCAAATTATCTGATCTACTTGCATATTAAGACTTAGGGCTACTAACAGCAATATAGTAAGTATTTTATAATTGTTAATATAGTTAGCCATAGGCTTTACTCACTGTTTATTGTAAATGCTGTTGAGTGAAGACATACATTCAGTCATAGCCGGCTCTTATATATTCTTGTATTCTAATCTTTCTAAGCTTCGGGATTCAACCGAACAATTTCAAGAATATTATAGGCAAAGACTACGCTACCAACAGCACTTAGAACAGAAGGAGCAGCAGCGACAGATATACCAGCAGATGTTGCTTGAAGGAGGTGTGAATCAGGAGGAAGGCCCCGATCCGCAGCAGAATCTCACGGAACAATTCCTTAATAGGTTGGTCTCCAAGTCATTTTTTAGATTGTAAAGAGTTATTTAGAAGCTATTTGAAAATGTTAAGGCTTTTCTTATGTGTTTCAAATAACAGTTAAAATAATTTCCTCTAGTCACATCGTGCTCATCTAGTTTTGTTACTCTCGCTTTAAATGTCCTTTTTTGCCTTTAAGCTCCAAGAGCAGAAGAACCGGGCAGCTGAGCTACAGGCTGGAGCTGAGCGCAGGGTCGGGCTAACTCAGGTCCATGGCAGCCAGGGAGGGCTGGAGCAAGAGGACTAGCCTCTTTCCTCATGGACTGCACTGGGATGGCCGGATGAGCAAATCAGTTAATTTATGCAAAGTGCTTAGAACCACATCTGACACCTAGCAAGCAATATATTAAGTGTTAGCTGCTATTTATATTGTTATTCTCAGTGCTTAAACCTTCTGTGAATTCAGTGTGTTAAAGTGATCCTTTTTGATCATTTTACACAAATAGTATGAAATGATAGT